GCCCTGGCTGGCCCCAGCCCCCCCAAGGCCCCTGACCCCTGCCATGGCTGGTCACATCCCCCCAAGCCCCCCCCAATCCCTGCTCCACCACCCCATAGTTTAACCCCTCCCCCCCAGCACTTACCTGCAGTCTGGCTGCTGTCTGGCTGACCGGGGCCCCACCTGCACAGTGTGGGACAGGCTGACAGCAATAGTGCCGCACAGAGGCCAACCCTGCAACCACAGTCCACTGGCAGCTGGCCCAGAGGGACAGATGCCTCTACTGGCTGTGCAGTCCCCATCCGGGTCTGGCAGGTGTGCAGCAGGTCACAGCCAGGCTGCAGCACCCACTGCAAGACTGCTACAGTGGGTAGAGGGCTCAGGAAACTCTCAGGGCTGCTTCAGCAATCCAGCTGGCACAAGGGTTGGGCCTCAGAAGTGCCTGAGAGCTAGTAGCTCTGAGCTTACTTACCAGGGCAGCTTTTTATACTGTTGAGGCCAGGACAGGGTATCTTTTTATACTGCTGGGGACAGCACAGGTACTGACCCTGGGCTCTATCTCCTCTTGGCTGCAGATCTAGGAAGAGCCAGGCAGGGTTATTTTGCCCCAAGTGACACAATTTGCTCCACACCAAAGTGTGTGTTCGAGCATGTGTGCTGAAGCAAAAAGCCCCGGCTCAAATTTGCACTGCTTCTATTTGAGCTGCTGCAAGTGCACGTGCTTGCATGTGTGGACGTGCCCAGAGTGTCTATCCACACTCAAGAGAAGAATCAGCATTTTAACTGGTTGTACCATTAAGTCCAGATATTGCTTGTGTAGAGTACCACCAATTTCTAGGCTCATGTACAGCGCCTGAGATGCGTGCTCTTATTTCCTAAGTCAAACTGTCTGGTACCCACACACAGGGTCCCTATCAATTTACAATGCTGCTTTGACATAGTCACTACTTAGTTAGGCATCTTTATTCCCTGATGCACCACTTACAAGTTCATTCGCATTCACAACTGCAGGGAACTTTACCAAGTCTAGCAAGTCTCCTATCCCTACTTCCCATCCATCCTCATCATCTTGTGCTCCTTTCACAAGATCATTCCTGCTAATGGGAGCATTGCCCTCTTGCTTTGTCTTAGGTAAATTAACTGTCAGCCACCACACTCATTGGGATGCTGCTTCCACTCTGTGTTCAAACATCTCAAACCAAATCTTCTTTTGAGATAAGTTTCACTTTCCCTTTTCCTCCAGAGGAGATTCAGCTAACTCCCTGCTTGAGAGCCAAGTCAACTGCTGCAACTCTGTGCAGCCCACACAAGCTGAAGCTCCTCTGTGCATCTCCTCCCTGGGGCAATGACCTTCTAGAACACATGATTTTAACTTCCAGTTCATGGACCAGAACCAATAAAGATCGGCTTCATTTTTGTATGGGATCTCGCTGTAAATCTCTGGCAATAAATAAAGACCCCAGGATTTGAGATCCATTACTTTAATATCATCACTCCTTTCAGGTATTTAACCCCTCCCTACCAATAGTTGATGTCAGCTCCCCTCCTTGAAACAGGGCTTTCGGACACCTCCTATTACACTTTCAAATCTCTGTACAGCCCCATTCTAGTCTATACCTTTGCCTTGAGTTCTGCATACAAACTGTTTCATTTCTTAAGGAGCTGCTTTTACTGTTGCCTTTTCTTCCTTTCTCCACTCCTTTATTTGAGTCTTCTTTCATGATGTGAGTGGAACAGATCCATGTAAGCCAAGGCAACTGTGTGTCTTTGCTGTGCAGCTTGGTAATGATGATATTTGGAGTATATGTCACTCTTGGCTCTCCAGCCATACTCTACCTATGTCTTTATATTGCAAACTTTTAAAGGCAATTATTTCATTTTATCTTTAGTATGCTTTACACTTCTTGTAAAATTGCCTGTAAGCTTATGGTACTATGTATGCAATAACAGTGCACAGTAAAACATTGTACTGTGAGAAAATTAAATATGCAGTTACACAGGTTAAGGTCAGGAAGTGACAGTCAAAAAGATGCAGCTAAAACAGAAAACATGGGGAGGAAATACATAGAAAGAAAGAAAATTTCATGGACTGCCTAAAGATTAGAGGAGCTTTTATAGCAAGATGATATTCATTCTGTTATGTTACTACTTGCTACAGTGCAAAAGCTAATGCATGGCATTCCATTCAAAAATCTAAGGAGTCTGACCGAAGTTTGCTTCATTTGTGGCTGTGTCAAATGGATCAGCATTACTTAACATGCATTTCTAGATGACAGAAAAACTGCCTCCAACTGTCTCTTCAGACTATTAAAAGTACAGCTCCCTATTTCTTTCTTCCCCAGACAAACAGGGTTCCATCACTATTATTATTACATATAATTACAGACACGTACCAGTGGGATGCTATATAACAATGTTTGGTTAGCCCAGAGGTGGGCAATTATTTCAGCTGGTGGGCTACTTAACAAGTTTTGGTGAGCTGTTGAGGGCCACACACACAAAATATTTCAGAAGACATCATTTTAACAAATTATAGCTAAAAAAAATCATATTCTAAAAATGACACATCTACTATAACATGATTTAATTTTATTTCAAAAAATATTTTTGTCCTGATTTATGCTTGAGTAGTGT